TGTGCGTTCTCTGTCCCCCTCCTCTTTTTTTTTTTTTTTTTGCTTCTTAGATAATTTGAGGCAAACTTCAGGTGTACACCCAAGGATCAAGCATAATAAAACTAAGAGCTACCTTTTTTCTTTCTTTTCAACTTATTTTGAAACTTTTTAGCCATCCAGGAAAATTTAGTAGTGACCTAGAATCTCCCACTGTTACCATTTCTCCTCGTTTGCTTTTTCCTTTTCTATGCACACACAAAATATCGCCTAGGAAAGGATATTCTCTTACATAATCACAGCACAGCGATCAAATTTGGGACTTTTAACATTGATACGTTACTGTTATCTACTATAACAATTCACATTTTATCAGATTATCCCAGTACTGTCCTTCATAGCATTTCCCCCCAATTCTGAAGTTTCGCAGTTTTTGTCTCTTGTGAAATTGACTTTGTAATAATTCAAGCTAGATTTTAAAAAGGTCCGTACATTTGGGTTTGACAGACGGTTTCCTCATTACCAAATGGAGGTCAGGCACTTTGGGCAGGAATTCTATGTAAGTGATCACTGGGTCCTCAGTGCACTACATCTGAGGTTAGCTTATTACATGGTAAGTCAACCTGCTGAGTACAAGATTTCTAAGTTACATCGATAGTATATACATACACAGTGCTAGCTTCAAGTTTTCATTATATTAGGTTTTTTTTTCCTGTTTGGCTTTCTTATCCATTTGTATATAGTTAAATTTTTTGGTTTAAATTCAGTTTAAGGTTTTTCCTGTCCTATTTTTTTTAATACAAAAACTAACATGGTTCCAAAAGTCAAAACTTAAGTATAAAGTCAAAACCAAAAGGGATACTTAAAGCCATTTGGCTCCCCTACCCTATTTACCCTTAACCTCTTGATAGTGTTTCGTTTTTCTCTGACTTACCTTGTGGGTTTGCCAAAGTAAGTGTGGGTTGTATATTTTGCTTTTTTTCTCCCACTGAAGGCAGTATACTTTATTTTTTCCCACTGGAAACCACTCCCTGTTAGTTCATAGAGTTCTTCCTTGTTCTTTTATCAGCTGCCTAGTACTCCATTGTTAAAAGCTACCAATTCAAGCACTTAACGATATTACAGGCTCTATAATCTGTATTAGCCCATTTAGTCTATAGGACATCATTATGAGGTATGGGTGCTGTTACCTTCAACAGTCTTGGCACACATCATGTGATGATCTTGTTTCCTCCCCCTCTTCTGTTCTATCAAACGTACAGAAAAGTAAGGGCTAACACCCATGTACACAACACCCAGCTTTGTCGAGTCTTAATATTTTACTGTGTTTACTTAAGAAATACATTTCAGATAACAAAAATTACACATTTGTAAAGAAAAAAACTTGCAACTACCCAACTTCACCATTTGCAGTGCAAAAGCAACCCCAAACAATGCATAAATGAAATGTCTGTGGTGAACAGCTATCAAGAGCTCCAATAAAACTTCATTATTAAAACAGCCAAAAAAAAAAAAAAAAGGCCAGATTTGACCCATGGACTATAGTTTGCCAACCCCTTATTATGTGGTCTGCCTACTCCCACCCAAACTTCACATCACTCTTCCCCTTCCCACTTTATTCCTATCACCATTTGACATATTAATTATTGTCTCTCCGGTTATGGCTGCATAAATATCTCAAAGCTTAGTAGCAGAGAACAAACGTTTCTTACACGTGGATATTGTGGGTCAAGGACAGCTTCGTGTATTCCATTATGTCTGATCCTCAGCTGGAAGACTTGAAATCGGGGGCGGGGAGGGGCTCGATTCATCTAAAGACTCACTTATGCAAATATCTGGTGGTTGACAAATGGCTGTGAATTGAGATTTGAGCTGGAGTTGTCAGCCATAATCCTACGGGTGGCCTCCTATAGCTTGGGTTTCCTCACAGCATGGTTGCTGGGTTCCAGGGGCAAGCATCATGAGAGATGCCAGCAGAGTGTTACCATTCTACATGACCAAGTGGTGGAAGTCACGCAGCATAATTTCTGCTGCATTCTATGGGTTGAGGCAGTTACAAAATCCTGCCCATATTAAAAAAAAGAATGTGATTTCCACATCTTGTTGGGAGAATTGTCAAGGTTTTGGAAGGTCAGGTAAGACTGAAAATACAATAGGCACATGAAAAGATGCTCAGTATCATTAATTATCAGAGAAATGCAAATCAAAACTACAATGAGTTATCACATCACACCAATCAGAATGGCCATCATTTTAAAAAAGTCCACAAATGATAAATGCTGGAGAGGGTGTGGAGAAAAGAGAAACCTCCTACATTGTTGGTGGGAATATAATTTGGTGCAGCCACTATGGAAAACAGTATGGAGATTCCTTTAAAAACTAAAAATAGAGTTACCATATGATCCAGCAATCCCACTCCTGGGCATATATCCAAAGAAAACTGATTCAAAAAGAAACATGCACCCCAATGTTCATAGCAGCACTATTTACAATAGCCAAAACATGTAAACAACCTAAATGTCCATCAACAGATGACTGATGACTGACTAAAGAGGTTCACACACACACACACACAGGAATACTACCCAGCCATAAAAAAAGAATGAAATAATGTCATTTGCAGCAACATGGATGGACCTAGAGATTATCATACTAAGTAATAAGTAAATCAGACAGAAAAAGACAAATATCATATGACCTCACTTATATATGGAATCTAAAAAAAATGACACAAATAAACTTATTTACAGAACAGAAAGAAACTCACAGACATAGAAAACAAACTTATGGTTACCAAAGGGGCAGGGGAAGGGATAAATTAGGAGTCTGGGATTAATAGATACAAACTACTATATATTAAAAAGATAAACAACAAGGTCCTACTATATAACACAGGGAACTATATTCAATAGCTTGTAATAACCTATAATGAAAAAGAATATACATATATGTATAACTGAATCACTATGCTGTATGCCAGAAACTAGCATCACACTGTAAATCAACTATACTTCAATGAAAGAGAGACAGAGAAAAGGAAGGAAAGAAGGAAGGAAAGAAAAAAGAAAGGGAGAAAGAAAGAAAGAAAATGCTGCTGAGGCAATTTGTGGAAAAGATAATCTGCTACAAGTTCCATTAGAATGTCAGCTCCTTGAGGGCAGGGCTTTATTTTGTTCACTGCTCTATCTTCACGTAGAACAGTACCTGGAACATGGTAGGTGCTCAATAAATATTTGTTGTTTCACATATGTGACATTTAACATTAGTTTTTTTTTTAATATTAGCTTTTTAAAAGGTGATATATGTAACATAACTCCACCTACTGCCTCAAAGTGTTCTGAATAGTTAGTCACCTGTGAAGCACAACTTTCTACCAACTGATTTAAGAATTCCATTTTCAGTTATTGAAGACAGAGCCAGAATACTAGCTTGGTTTTGGAGAAAGGTTAGGGTTGTCTTTAAACTTAGAATAGATTCTATAAGTCATGCAGTTTTACTCTTGGCCAAGAGGAAGTAAAAGGGTTCATATTTATCTTCCCACCTTAAACAACTTAAAACCAGATAAAATATAGGAAATAACAATTTGCAGCTTCTGGAGGTCAGGCAGGGCAGTGTGCGGTGGTCCTGGGGAAAGGGGGAAACAAATGAAATGAGCGTCACAGTTGCACTAATTTGATGTTTAGAGAGAATTATGAGAGGGAAGAAGTGGAACCAGAAGTCTCCTTGGGTTACAGCAGCAGAGCTGGGCGTCCAGGAGAGCCCAGAAGGCTAGAATTCACAGGACAGAGTATGGGGAAGGAGAGAGTATGGGCAGGGAGGGGGACTCCCGCAGGGGGTAGGGGGACTCTGGAGGTCTGCAAAGGGGCCCCCTTGAGTCCTCAGCTAAGTGTGATCATCATCACATTATGTGAGGAGCTTCCTAAGGCTGGGGAAAGACATACCCTACAAAAGCAGAGGAGCTATCCTTGAAGCTCACACAAGTCCGGGAGTCCTTCAGGCTCCCACTCTGCAGAGTGGAAAACTTCATAATTCACAGGCACCAGGTGAGTCGTGAGGAGTGGGAAACAATCATTCCTAGACTGAAGGCTGCTCCAGTCTTGCCCAACAAAGCAAACCTCAGAAGGATCCTGCTCCTAGTTCAATGGCCAGAACTAGTCTTGTGGCACCACTCAACCCTATGGGAACAAGAAACACAACCCCAAGGTCTGGAAGGAGGGATTCTACAAATGCTGAGTGAGAGGCGCCAGCGACAATTACAACTGCAGAGACGCATACACGTGGATTTGAAAGGAACTTGTGAGCTGGAATGTTATGATAAAGTGGGTTGTGAATGCACGCACTGCAAATTGTTAACTCCAGCTTCTCAGTCCTTAGGAACTTGCAAACGACTCTTTCTTTCACCTGCTGATTGCTTTACTGTGCAGAAAGGGGAGAGAGCCCTCTCTTGGTCCCCTAAGAGCTGCAAACCAGAGCTGGGCTGCAGGATTCATTTATTAGGACCAAGCTCAAGCAAAGCCAACACAGTCCTGATCTAATCCTGGAAAGAATAAGAGCCCCCAAAATAAAGCAGAAGAGAACTTCATCAAGAAGCTAAGAATAAAGTGGCCTCCGGAGTCAACCCCAGAAACACGGGGAATTCAAAACTCCCTGGTTACAGGGATGTCAGCCTCATGGTGATCACATGAGAGATGATGACCCACCATCCATTTACTTAAGTCTACTCTCCAAGACAATCCATCTATTTTGTTTACATCTATTTTACAAAGAAGCAAAACTCAGACAAGAATGGTGTAAATATTGGTAAAAATCGAGCTATAGGGAGCTTTGTTTATACACCTGCCACAGCTGGGCTTGCCTTTACCCCACAGGACACAGGCAAATTCAAGTCCTCTGGCCTATGTGAGAGGCACATACAAGAACAAATTATTAAAAGATAAACTTTGCTTTATAAGAGTATAATAATTGACACAACACTGTAAATTGACTATAACTCAATAAAATAAAATTTTTTATAAAAGAGTACAATAGAAAGATGCTAGCTAATCTGCTTGCCTCCATGAAAAAGAAACCCCACTAAACTAATCATCTAGGCAGGAATGACTGCACAGAAATAAAGGGATTGTCTCATATTTTGTAGCCATATTTGAAAATGAGGATAACATTTTAACTGAAAAATCCAAAATTTTTAGCACACAATTATTTTAATGACATGTGACAAGTGAAAACAATCTTTGATTTGGGGTTTAATAGTAGGAAGATAGAAACCATGATGAAGTTCTATATTTAGCTTGATTTCAAGACTACGGGTGTAGGAAATGCTTGTTTATATAAGTAAGTTGTCCGTGAAAGCTTCGATTGCTAGCTCAGGGTATTCAGAACTCATATTTAACCAGCATTCTACTGGGGAATGTTTCTTGACTGACACTTCCGTACGGATATCTTCTTTAGTACATGATAGATACAGTTAAGAGGGTGGTGTTACTGACATTTCCAAAGCGCTCCCCCAAGGAAGTAGATCACCCTAATTCACAGCCAAGTAGCAAATGCAAACTCTGGGCCTTCTTTTTTCACCCCAGCACATAGGAACAGGAAGAAATCTAGAGAGGGAATGTTGACCGTGTCTAGATCACTATGTGTGTGTGTTCGTGTATTCAGAGATAAATTCTCAGAAATGAAATCTGTTGCATAATTAGGACAATGAGACGGAATTCTGTGAAGCACGGTGACGGGGACGTGTTTACTAACAGCGGCTTAGCCCTCCTCAAACGCTGGGTGTTGCTTACCTTTCTGTACCTTTCAGGAAGCTCAGTGCCTGGATCTTAAATGGTATTAAATAAATGCCAGGGGAAGTGAATGCATGACTCAGACCACTTTGGGGAAAATACTCAAAGAGGCAGGAAATATTTTTCCTAGCTCTTTTCTTTTAGTTTGCACTGGGAAAATGACAAATGAGTCCCCCATCCTGGAGGTGTTCACGCAAAAGCTGAAGAGTTACTAAGGAGGTGAAAAGGCCCAAGTACTGAAAATGGGACTCCCCTCTACCTTATGTTCTGTGATCTGGCACCAAAACCCAATTTGCTGCATCAGACGAAAGCTCTTCACTGCACATGCATGCCATTTCAGGAGAAAGTTCGGTTTAACCAGAGCGCTCTAAGTCCAGCAGAGGATGATAACCTACTTGACACAACAGGACAGAATTCCAGCAGGACACAAGGAACACAGGAAGTCCGGCCTCACGGTTTGTGTTCTCTGCAGTGGTGACCAAGTCAGGGAGACAGGAGGCAGGAAGGGGTAGGGTTTACAGGAGAAGAATCTCCTCTCTCCTAATACCAAGGACCTATTCCCTCCAGGGACACTTGGCTGGTGCCCACGGGAACCACTGAGGACAACAGATGCCCAGGTCCCCCGACAGGCCCAAGCTCTGAGCTATTGTACTAAGTCCATCAACTGCAGCTCAGAGAAAAGCAAGGGGACTTTGGGGACTTCTTGTGCAAAAAAAAGGAGCCACATGTGTGGACACAGTGCTTTAGCAAGTGACTAATGAGGCTGTTTGTGTTCTTTCATTGGGAGGGGGATGAGAGACTCCTGAGGTTTTTCCTGCCCCTCCTTGCTTTTTATTTCTAGATAATGAAGACGATCAACAAAGCTTCCTACAGCTCCATGGTACTGGCCTGCTCCCTGGGGATACGGGGCAGGCCTTGAGGACACCGTTTTCAGGCGACACACAATACCCAGTACACACACACTCCTGGGACAGGGGCCTGCTCAGAGAAGATGATGGGAATTGTACAATCTTAAACTGACAGCAAATTAAAGCTGGAGGCACCTTTAGGACCATGCAGCCCCAAGCCATCTTTTTACTGATGAGGCAACCAGGGCACAGAGAGAAGTGCGTTAGCAGTTGACTTGGAGCTAGACTCAAGAATTTTCTGGCTCTAACTCTGATAACAAGGGGCCAGGAGCTGGCTCTGGAGTCTGAGGGCTGGAGTTCAAATTCTGGACTTCACCACGGGCTAGCTTTACAACTATGGACAAGCCACACAGACACGTGGTGCCTCAGTTTCCTTTTCTGTAAAATGGGGGTTTTATTCTCTACTTCACAGGTTGGGAGTTTCTCAAATGTTAAACATAGAGTTACCGGCAACTCTACTCCTAAATATCTATCCAAGAGAAATAAAAACATATGTTCACACAAAAACTTGTATACAAATGTTCATAATAGCATTATTCATAATAGCCAATCGTGGAAACAACCCACATGTCCATCAACTGATGAACAGATAAACAAAATGTGGCTTATCCATACAATGCAATATTGTATTAAAAATGAAGTAAGTACTGACATGGATGAGTAACAGAGAATAACACACCTGGTACCATACTGGATCTATTCCTCTAGCTGTAAACTTTGTGCTCTGTTGCCTGTGCTTAGTTTCACGCTGGCTCTGCACCTTTGTAAAACAATGTGCCTGTAGCCTAAAATATACCTGACAGCCCACTCTCAAGGCTCTAACCCTTAAATGTGTCACACTTTTCCATTCATATACAAATAAAAAGCTGCAGAACAGAAAACAATTTTCTTGTTGGAGGTTTACAGGAACACTGTGACCAGACCTAAGCGGACAGCTACAAGAACAAAGGATTCTGGTACCAAGAAGCTTGCAACAAACAGCCACACCCACTACCCTTTTAGAATAAAAGAAGCCTGAATTTTAACTCAGGTAAGATGACTCTTGGAACACTAGCCCACCACCATCTCAGTCTGCTGGCTTTCCAAATAAACTCACTATTCCTCGCCCCAAGGACTCAGTCTCTCAGTTTATTGGTCTGTTGTGTGGTGAACAGTACGAGCTTGGACTTGGTAATACATGAACCTTGAAAATGTTATGCTGAGTGAAAGAAGTCAGTCTGAAAAGACCATCTAGTGTATAATACCATTTATAAGATGCCTGGAATGGGCAAATCCATAGATAAAGAAAGTAGGTTAGTGGTTGCCTGGGACTAAAGGGTGGGGATAGGCAGGGATTGGGGGAAAGACCAGGGGAATGGAGAGTGATTGCTAATGGGTACCAGGTTTCCTTTGGTGGGTGATGAAATGTTCTAAAACTATATTATTGTGATCACTGCAAAACTCCATACCTTTGCTAAAAGCCATTGTATTGTCCACTTTAAATGGGCACATTTCATGGCCTGTATATCTCAATAAAACCTTTTAAAATGAATGTTATAACAGCATTTCTCTGAAATGGTTGCATTAGGAATTAATATGAGTTAATACATATAAATGTATTTACAGTGGTTCTTGATGCACAGTAAGTCTTCAATGATTTAGTGATCATCATTTCCTACTCTGTAGGGAAGAAGGAATAAATTCTGTTGACTTTTCTTACATGAAGGGATAATAACATTAGAAGAATTGTCCACTGATAAGCATAGCATGATATATTTTGATCATTTAGAAAAGCATAAAATAATACAATATGGTTTCCACAGTAGTATGTAAATGTATGTAAAATTATAGAATAAGGTCATATAGGGGGTTACCCCTGTAATGTACATCTTGGCAAAATTTCAGAGCACTGGGAATAAAAAGATCTCAGGTGCTTACAAAGGAAAAAAGCAGGTCACATCCAAGTGATCAGGAAGCAAAATGGCGTCAGATTCTCCACAATCATAGAATTCTACATACAACCAAACGGCCAGATATCAAACAATCAGGTATGAAATGTATCACAAAATTTCCCTTGCATTTACCCTCTCTTGGGAAATTATTGGAGAACATAATCCAGAAAGAAAAAAAAAAAGTAAACCAAAGACAAATACTTGAGATTTAATACAAGAGAGAGGTAAAAGGAATCCCAGAAAGGCAGCTGTGCAGCAAACCTCAGCGATTAGCCTAGATTGGAACAGAGAACTTCCAAGATGCATTTTCCCAAAGAATACAAATGATAAGTTAAAAAAAAAAAAAACTGACGAGTCTGACCAAATGAAAAATAACATTCATGGTGTGCTTGTTTGTTTTTTTACAAATTAGACAAAGGGTTTGGGAACAATTAGTGCTTGCAGTAAAGAAAAATAATGAGAAAAAAGAGGCAAATAGTAACTCTAGGAAAACAAAAAAATTGTAGAAGGAAATAATTACGTAAGCATAATTCACTGCTCGACTCATTGTCATAATAGCACAAACCCTAAATATTGATTTGGCCAAAGTTTTTATGTCGCTATATTGGGAGAAGAGAGGGAGAAAAGGAGGAGTTGGCGGCTACTGCAAAGTACTTATCCTCATCTTTCATAATTGCAAGCCAGTAGATAATGTCTTAAAATGGTAAGTCAGACAACAGCACATTACCTTAAAACATGGCATACCACAAAGCATCACTAAGAAGAATTTGGAAAAAGACATTCAAGTCAAGAAGAGTGGCATGGGGGACTGTTGTTTATCATAAGCTTGGGAAACTATTTAACTTTTAAAATTTGTGACAAATATTAGATTAAAATATAAATATTATTTTTAAATATAATGTATTCATGTGTTACTTCAGTAATTAAAATTAATGATAAAACATCCCAGAGCAATCCAAATTCTCCTTTTACAGGTGAGAAAACTGAGACTCAGTGAGCCTAAAATCTGTACTTCAGTCAATTTCTTAAATTCAACAAAGTACCATGGTTAAGTAAAACGGGGATGCCATAGCATCTTTGCTACTTTTCTGTAAATCTTGAACTATTCTAAAATAAAATATTTTAAAACTTCAAACAGCTCAGTTTCTTTCTCTTTCTGTAAAACCTTTTGTTATGGAAAATTTTCAAACATGCAAAATTAAAAGTAGGATAATGACTTCCCATATACCCAATCCTGTTTCCACACTCAATAATGTTTTGCCAGTCTTGTTTCATTTTTTCCTCCCTTCTGTGGTCATTGTTGTTGGAATATTTTAAGGCAAAGCCAATACATTGTGCTCTGTGAGAGCTGGAGCCACTGACATGGGCCGCTCTGGTCCAGGACAGGAGTGGAGGTAGAAGAACCTTCTTTCTCTTCCTGCCCTCTAACCTTCTTTCTCTTCCTGCCCTCTAACTGCAGATTCATCCCATTGCCTAGACACACCTGGAAGCCAGAAAGCACGTGATACCACCTTCAGAGTCAGCTTCCCAGGGCCAGAGTGGACAGAGGAGGATAGAGAATGGAAAAACAGGGGAGAGAGCATAGCCAGCAGCCTGCTGACACCTCAGTCTGTGACCCCCAGCTCCCTCTCTCCCCCGCATTCTAGATCTGCACTGCCCAGTACCAGAGTCACTAGCCACATGTGGTTATTTATATTTAAGTTAATTAAAATAAAAACTTCACTTCCTCAGTTGTACTGGCCCCATTTCAAGTGCTCAATAGTCACATGTGGCCCGGGACTACTTTATTTGGGCAGCCCAGATACAGAAAGCTCTATTGGACTGTGCTGCCTAGATCTTTATAAAAAAAATGTATATATATAAAGATGCAAGAGGTACCTAAAACAAAGACTGAGGTGACTCCTACTACTCCCCTCTAGCCTCCTTTACCTGAGTACTCACCATCTACTAACCCTTTATCCACCTTTCTACTCTGGAGAGACTGTAGAACTGCAACAAAAGTCCACCAACTTAGTGACCTTACAGCTGCAGCCAGTTCTAAGGCCAGAAACCTGAAACACCCGGGACTCCATCACCGCACACTCATAGGGGTCTGTCATCAAAAACACTGACCCAGAAATCAGTGTCTCATTTGCAAGCTACCAGGGCACTGGAAAAAAAAAATTGTCCTCGAAGGTTTTGTCAAATCCTTCAACACCAACGTGAATGCCCCCAAATCCATCCTTGAAGAAGGCCCGCATGTGGGTGCCACCCAGGTTGATGGGACTCCAAGAGACCCTCCGGTAAACTCTTACCAGTTATTCCCTTGAGCAGCCAAAGGGAAACTAAAATTAAATCTGATGAAAAACCTTGCCAAATTCTGACAGATAGCTGCGCTACATTCTCTAATTTAAGCCCCATTTGCTCCAGAGCCTGCAGATGGGATCTTGGGAAAACTGACAGAAGCTGGTAAAAGGTAAAGATGCCTACAAAAGTCAGCTTCCCTGAGTCTCTGCAGTGCCTGGTGTAGAGAGAAAGGTGCAAGTTCCCTTTGTCCCTTCCTTTCCTAATTCAGACTCTCGTGACTTTGGTTTTGAGGTACCCACTGGTTGTTGATCTTTCTCAGGGATAGCTACTGCCTTCTTGTTTGTCTCGTTTTCTGTCCTGACAACTTGGCTTGACTTTCTTCCTGGTTGTCAGTTTTTGCATAAGAAAGGGAGCTCAACTGTCTGGTTGGTGGCCCCAATATATGGCTGAGCAGAAATGTAAGTTGCATCCTATTTTCAGAGAGATGTGGCCAGAGATGTTGATTGCACTCCATCTGCAGGGAGGGTCTTCTCACTGTTGGCAGCCCCCAGGGGAATTGTCTAAGTCTTTCTTTGGGCTGTCTTTGGGAGTGTAAGCAGATAGGATAGGGGTTCCCCATGAAAGAGAACCAGGCATGGCTTTCATGACAGGAGAGAAGCCATTTCTGGCCTAAGCCATTTTGTGATCTAAGCCTGGCCACGGTGCTTGCCCTTGAAAAGGTCTCAGTAATTAATGATCTTGAAGGGACAAAAGAATGTAGAAACAAACCACTGCTATCAGGCAAGAGAAGTAAC